GAGAATAATGCTAGTTAAAGAGCAATTCTATCTTTATCATTTTCAAAATTTTTTTTTGCAAATGATTTTAGTTTTGCTTTACCTCATCCTGCATTCATATAATTTCAAGATTTTGCTCTTTTAGTTGTTTAGATAAGTGTATTTTAAGTTTTTCTTGTCACATTGGAGAGTGACTTAAATGTATTTAAAGCTCACAACAAATGAAAAGTGAAATGCAATATGTAGAGTGCTAATATTTTTAAGCTAATCGCATGATTTTGAAGACTGCATGCATGATTTTCTAATATTTAGGGTTGCCAGTCTGTAATGTATTGCTGTTGATTGCCACATTATAAGAACATAATTTTCAATGCAACTGTTTGCTGCTCAACACAATCAAAGATATCTGTGAGAATCACATACTTTCTTATAGGCCTAAGCTAAAAATTAATAAGAAATATTTTCACAAAGTAATGAAAATCTGAATATTAAGAATGTACATGGAGACTTGAGTTGGCAAAATGTTTGTCTGTACTGCACAACATAAAAATTCTATATAGTGTCAGCTGGACTTAGATTAAATTCCTCACTCCCTACAGCGTGTGCAACATGGTAAGCTCCTTTCAGTAATGTAGAACACAGCAATGTTATAACAAGTTTATCTTAAAATCAGTTTCTTTCTTGCATCTCTAAACTTGTGTTAGTGGAGTAATCTACAAAACTGCATTGGAATTCAATGTTATTTGGGCACCTGTCTTCAGAGATTTGACAACTGTGGTATTATAGAGTACGTGTTCTTCCTCCCTGATGTATAACAACTATTTTAGAGTGTAAGCTCCATGGAGCAGGGACTTCTTAATCACAGATACTTAAACAGAGACTAATATCTTTCAGATGTTATTGGCATATAGCTAGCTATTAACTTATACTCGATGATTTAAAACAGTTTCATGTTAAGTATAAATTAATTATTAAAATGTTTCTTTCAAGAAATATCCAAAGTATCTTCAGAAATATAAACCAACACACATGGTCTGCATGGTTTTTGCTTAATGGTAAAGTACAATCCCTCGATAAATGAGATAAATAGAAGCTGATGTGAAAAATGAATATAATTTATCCTAAGGCTGTGCTCCTGACTTTCTAACAATCCAAATACCTTGTCCTGTAAGTACCTCTTAATGCATCCTATAAAAGATGGAGCTCTTCTAAATTATATTCAGATAGATATATAGCAAAATAATTCAAAATAGGTCTTTTTTACTCACGTGACTAAAGAACAATTTTAAAATAAACACCTGTGATTTTTCTCTACCTGTATCATTGACTGTATATATTTGGTTATAAGTTTCTCAGTATCATTCAGCAAATAAGTTGTTTACAAGCCACAATATTTTTATTTCAATATAATCATATTAAAATAAAAAGACTAATTGCCTACTAAGGTATTTCTGGTGGTGTGATAGATAATGAAAACAGAGTGGCACCACAGAAGCTCTTCATTTATTATATTTTATTTTGCTTATTGTTGTTGAATGCTGTGTTTTTCTGAGGATGTATAAATTTCATGTGATAATGCCCTACAGCTCATAGAATTTTTGTATATATGTGTGTTAAAACATTCTGTTTGTTATTTCACAGCATTTATTTCCATTAGCTATCACAGAAACATTTCAACTTAGTTAAAGGTACTAATATTTCATCTGTAAATCATAGCTTGGCTTGTGTGGACAGAAGCCTCATATCAGAAATATGTTCATCTTCTCCGTTAGCAAGGGATATGAGTTGTGAATATTTTTATGCAGCAAGAGTGCACAGACCTTTATTGTGCTGAAGTAAGACTTGATATAGCAACAAGTGAATGTAGTTTGTATTTTTTTTTCTGTGCAGGAATATTTACATGTTTTTAGAAAAACAGTGTAGAGGATAAACAGGATTGAATTGAAAGATTCCTCTAATAGTAAAAAAACCACATCCTGTTCACATATTCATGAGGCTGGTCACATCAGTTTATGTTTTGTTCTTAGAAATATGCAACAACTGTAGCTGGTCCCAGGGAAAGCATAAGACCGACTAAACATCATTGAGAGCAGATAAGAGGATTTAATGAAAGAGTGGTGCATAATAATGGGTCAGGCCCACTCCTTAACACAGTGGACAGACACACAAGGTGGACAGTACTCCCAGAAAAGTCAGTAGCAGAAACATTTATTGATTCTAAAAACATCAGATGTAGTAAGTTCCTGGACAATTTAGAAAAGCTCACACATAATGACCACGCTGTAAGTAGCTCACTTCTTTTCTTCTAAACAAAATCAACATGTTACCATGGTATCCAACAGCAATCCCATGGTTCTACTTCAGGCAAACTCTCATTGTTTCAAGTAAAAGATGAGCAAGAACTATAGCAACTAACCCTGTGGTTTGCTGAACTAATCATCTGCCTGCGTACATCTGCATAGCATCATTGTTACAGTGGCCTGTGGGGTTTTTTCTGACAATATTCTAAAACCTATGCTTAGAAACAGAGTATATTTAACATTAAAATGCCCTCTCTGAAAAAGTATCTGATCTTGTTCAGATAGCTCTCATTTTACAAATGTCATGGTTATTTCAGCAAAAACCTCTCATATTAAATGACACATTAGTCCAAATACGTGAATTTCAAACAAGACTTGCCCTTTAACTGTCTTGTTATTTTACTATGGTATTCAAATACACTTTGATACCATTTCTTGCAATGAAAGAAAACTTAATAGCAAATTTTTTAACTGCTACATACTTTTGTATGTATATTTGTATTCACTTGGTATAAGCTTTGCAATACAGATTACACTATGCACTTGTTGAATTGCAATACTCTGAAAGCTCTTAGGGCCATCTCTGTTTGTATGTCGCTTCCTTCTTTCTTTCTTTCTTTCTGTCCAAAAAATTATATATAAATACTTTCATAACATTCACACGAAATCCTTACACTTGTCTTTCCAGGTCCTGAAGGGGTTTCCAGAATGCTTACAAGCTGATATCTGTCTGCACCTCAACCAAAATTTGCTTCAGAATTGCAAAGCTTTCCGGGGGGCCAGTAAAGGCTGTCTTCGAGCTTTGGCTATGAAGTTTAAGACAACACATGCACCTCCTGGGGACACTCTAGTGCACTGTGGAGATGTTCTCACTGCTCTTTACTTTGTGTCAAGAGGCTCTATTGAAATCCTTAAGAGTGACATTGTTGTAGCCATACTTGGTAAGTAGCTCACTGCAAAGGGTCTTAAAAGAGCCAGGGGATTGCAAAGAAATATCCATTGTTGTCCTTAGTGAAGGAAATCCCTAGGTGTTTTACTCACTGTTATTTAAAATCAAGCAGAAAAATAATTTGTTTAAGGAGCAAAGTCTACATTACTGCAATAATTCATGTGCACCAAGGAACTCATGTCCTTGGAGACCTAAGATATAGGAGTGAGTAGATTTGTCCCTAGGCAAGCGGTAAACTGCACATTGAGGCAAACTAATATTGAATTACTCCAGTTCTGATTATGCTGTAAGAACCAAAGTCATGGATACCCTTTTCTTGAACAGTATATGAGGGTACTGAGACACCAAGACCCCCTATATGCTACCTGGAAAAAAAATGTGTAGCCACTTGCAGCATTCAAAATGTCTTTTAGAGGTTTTCAGAAATGTCTGCTTCTGTCCACTGAGCACATAGAAAAGGAAGACTAGACTGATACTAATAACATCCTATATTTCTTAACACATTCCTGTTTGCATAGCGTGGGGAGTTACTTGTCTTCTTTCCCAATGAAGATGTCTCAGAGAAATGTTGAATCCAGCTGGGAGCTCACTTGAAGCAGGTGATGGCTCTTACATGGAAGCAAGAAGACTTCATTAGCTACATTTTTTAAAAGTAAAATAGATAAAATCCTACCTAAATATGACTACTGATTTATTTCTCTAATTGAGCAGATGAGTTAGTAAGGATGCAGAGAACAATTGAGTAGATGAATAAGGATTTTGCTGTATAGCAACCTACTTACACCAGCCACAACATCATTCATATCTTCTCCTTTCTGTTTATTATCCGCTGTTGGAACTTACAGTGAGAAAAGTAGCTAAAGCAAAATGTGGACTGGTAGCAGCATGTTGCTATCATTCCCTTTGTAACTGATTATTCTGCTAGTACTTTGCAGCATGCATACATGAGCAGAAGTAAAAAGCTGTGCCTACACTGATCCTTCCCCGGGTTTAAATGATGTTATCAAGATAATTTGTCGTCCCATGCTGTTGCACCTCATTAGCTGGGCCAGCTTAAGGGACAAGCTAAGCAGGGAGTATGCAAGTATAACACTGTGGAATTTTTACCTTCCTGAGTGTCTTTCCCTGATTATGAACTGTGTGGTTCATCGAGGATTTAATGCCTTACATCAAAACCATGTAAATTTCTGTACCACACACAATCAAGGAAAATATGCAGACTGTTCGTGTTTTGCATGTTAAGCACATCAGGTCCCCGAGCTCTCACACTGCAGCAGAAACACAGGTACTTGCAGAGCAATGCCACTCTGTCTTTTCCAGCCTGCAGCTCCTCACATCAGAGGCCACAGTTTGGAGCCCATCTCTCCCAGGGAGTGGTGATCCAGACAGAAGGACAGTTGTGCACAGCTGCAGATGAAAAGGACTGCTCTGTGGGCCCACATGTGTTGCACAGTCCGTGAGTTAGGAGCCCCCCTGATAACTGGCTCAAGTCAATTAGTCTGGAAAAATTATTCTGCAATGGAATCACAAAGAAACTGAAAAATGATTATCAATACTTAGCCAGACACTTTTAGTTAATTCCTCTTTCTGAAAAACTGATGCACAGAAATTGAAATAAAAAACACTCAATGCTTTGTCCTCTGGTGTTGAAAAGGCTTCAGTCCAAGAGAGTTTCCACCCTGAACAAGTATTGCAACTTCATCACAGAAATCAGAGTTCTGAGAAATGTTGGCTTTGTCCACCAGTTTTCCTCAACTTGTCAGCACTGTCTGATGCTGCTGAGTATGATCTGATGAGTACTGATTTGGCAACAGTAATTCTGTGCCACATCCTTAGAAAATACAATGACCGTGGTCCTCATAGTATCTACCTCCTCTTTCAGCTTTGAAGACGAGATACAAAAGTACTGAGATATATCAACAGTCATACTGCAGAGAAGGTGTAGGCCATGAATAGGGACCTCTGTGTTCATAAATGTTAAGGCTCAAACTATTAGATTATATTGATTAATCTCTGTTATGTCACTAAATCCTGTTACATTTCGTACCTTTCACTGTCTGTCGTGTCTAATGGACTGTGTTTGGTGAAAGAAAAGCAATGGGGTTTCATCTGAAGACTTAACTCGAATAAAAAGTGATCACTTTTATTGGCAGTTTATTTCCGTATTTACTAATTTTTATTGTTAAAAATGTATGCTTTATTTCCAGTATGAAATTATCTTGTTTCAATTTCTTTTCATTGGTTATTGCTGGGCATTTGTTTTACATTCTAGGGGTATTTAGTACTAAGTTTTCCTCTCTGTAAGGATATATGCAATATAATCAGTAACCTCTTAATCTTCCTGTTGATAAGCTAAACAGACTGTGCTCTTTAGATCCTTGCTGTAAATCAGACTTTCAATTATTTTTTTGCATCTTTTCGCTGATTGCTCACCCAGTTTTCAGCCTCCTCTTTAGAAAATTGAGAAACCAGAACTACTTGCAATAACCTAAAATATAAAAGACAGAATTTTTTAATGGAAAAGCAAAAGCATGCCTGTATTCTTTTTGACCAGCCCACTGGTAAAAGTCCACTGTTTCTCAGTTGCTATGACCACTGCTCTTTTCACAACTGTTTATTCAGTTCCCCTTCAAACCACATTTTGCAGGTAAGCCCTGCAACCCTTAGTCCAGAGCATCCATTCACCGGTCTTCAGCTGCGGCTGCTCTGCATTGAGGAAGGTGAGGTGCAGATTTGAGGAAAATGAACAATTAGAGATGACAATTTTAGCAAACAGGTACCACAACTGTGTCAAGATTCGTGGAAAGAATTATTATAGTATCAAAGCAGAGGCAGCTATGTTTAAAGGGCTTCTTCAAAACAAGTTCTGCATCTTCGCAGTTTTGCGTTCCCCCTGAAAAAAATATAAAAACTAAGACATTTTCTGCCAAAATATATTTCAGCTATGGTCTATTTCTTCATGTCATTCTTAACAAAATGAGACTCCAGGCCAGACAGGTCCTAGACTCTACTGCACAACAGAGATTACATCTTTGTCACTGTAACAATATCATTTAAATCAACAAATAATGTTTTTTTCAATAAAGGAAAAAGGAACCTGCTCTAGTCATGCTGTTTTGATGGAACTGATGAAAAGCTGTGATGAAACTAGATTTTCCTTTTGCTTAGTCCAGTATATGCCTATTTTTTATTTTAATATTTTACCTTTTAATATTCAATAATAATACTTTTGATTTACAACAACATATGTGCAATGGTAATCTGATAGTATCACTTCATGTAAAATCACGTATTCTACACCATTATCATAAAGAAATACATCACTCAATTTAATGTCTTATTCATGTTTAAAATAATAATCTCCATCGAATTTTCTTTCTGCAGGAAAAAATGATATTTTTGGAGAGATGGTACATCTTTATGCAAAACCAGGAAAGTCAAATGCTGATGTGAGAGCTTTAACCTACTGTGATTTACATAAGATCCAGCGAGAAGATCTACTAGAAGTGTTGGATATGTACCCTGAATTTTCAGATCTCTTCCTCACCAATCTAGAACTAACTTTTAATCTGAGAGATGAAACTGCAAAGGTACGTACAATGAGTGATTATTTTTTTCCTTAATATTGGGCCAATTCTGTCCCATAGTTACAAAACTCAGAAATAGCAATTGAAAAAGCAAGGTTAGCAAAATTAAAAGCTAAAAGCCTGAGGCTAAATCTTATTTTTAAAAATTATAGTCACCTGATTGCTCCTACTGAAGTCGGTTAAACTTGGCAGAAGAAAATGAAATTATTCAAATGATACTAATTTAACAGGATTTGGTTCTATATTTAAATAATATTAATGTTTCAGTGAGAGAGATTTTGGATGTTTTGTTAAAGTCATGGAAAACATGGGTTTTTTCAGGTGACTACAGCCTGGGTCACCACAAGGGGAAGATTAACACTAACCATAATTGTACAGCCACACAATAAAGATAAATCAGATTATCCAGATTTATTCTGGATAGAAAATATTTAATTGCCTTTCAAATAAGAATTGTTAATTCTCTTATCCTGGAGTGCACTCTACGTCCTAGGAGATTAAAAGTATACAAGGGACTTTTCAAATTTCATTCAGTCTTCAGGCTTGCAGGGATTTCTTGGTATCTTTTTTTCCACAGGGACTGTCCTAAATGTCCCCTTTTGCACAGATTGCATCTTCAGGAAAGCAAAAAACTACCAGTGTTTCCTTCTAAGAGACGGCTGGGGCCGGTCTGAATTGGGAAAGAAAGGGGAGGTTTGGCTAGAAGGGGAGAGGGCAAAGGCCCAGCTTGTGCTGCTGAGGCTAAAGCTTTCCTTAGAAAGTTGCAGGGTGCATCAGCACTGGCCTCCAAACATGGACCACACTGTCCACAGAACGACTAATTTGCCTTTCATTATTTCTGAGATACTGCCGTTTTGTGGTTTCTGACTGTACTTTTAAGGAAAAACACAGGTTCAGCAAAAGGGAACTAAAATAATTTGGCCCCAAAGGCCTTCTAAGAAACAAGGAGACAAAGTTTTAGGCTTTAAATGATGAGGACATCTTTGCTAATCACATGTGGGTCTTTAGTTTAAAAAATTAAAACAAATATAACTTCTGACAAGAAATGTCACTTCCTTTTATTCTAAGCCTTTTTTGTAATATAAGGTCTCTCTGCAAATAGAAGACCAGTTCTATTCTTTATTTTTAAAGTCATTCTTTTCTGTTTATTTAAAAGGTCATCATTATTAATTACATGTGGAATACAATACAGTGAATTCATAGTCTAGTGATAAATTTAAGTTAAATCTGAAGGTCCACATATTTGAAAAATTCCTCAAGGATAATTAACATTAACAATTTTAGTTTGAGCAATTATTTCCTGCAACTACATTGCCATCGATGTTTTATCATTATTTTTTCCATACCTCTAAGAAAATTGAAACAAAATTCCATCTTCTGTGTTGTGCTGTAGAATACACAAAGAAAGTCCTCACTGCTCAAGTTTCTCAGAAAGTTTTCAGATGTTATTTCTCACTGCTGTACCAGCCACTAAGAAAAAATCGGTAGACTTCACAGAAACAGGGAAGAGAGGACAGGTCATCCATGCCTCTGAGCGTGCAAAACCACAGCTCTCTCTAACAATTCCAATTTGCTTTCCACTGACTATTGCAATCCAGAAAATCATCCCCCGGAAGAAGCACTTTCTGATCTTCAAAGTGTCACTCAGATCCAGATTTGTTATCTGAATAACTGGTGCTTCTGCTTCAAATTCTGCTCCTGTCCCCTTATTTATGTAAAAGTGTCTTTTTCTTCCTGCAGTTATTCCACCAGTGGGCCATCACTGAATCACTTTACCCACCGGGTTTACAATGAAGGGAATAGAGAAAGATGTAAACACTTCCCACTTGTTTCCCTCTTCCCTTCTCCCGCATGCAAATCTGCCTACTTGGGTGAGGGAAACCTCACTAGTACAGGGAAGTAGGTTGAAGCTATTGCCACAGTACAGGTATATACACAAAGAGCATAACGGGTGTTATATTTGCTTATTTGTAAATTTCTTAGTTTTAAATAAGTAGAAAGAAGAGCTAAATGCATCTTTTCTTTATCATGGCAAAAAAAAAAGGCACATCCATCTTCACAGGGAAGGGAAGTAGGCTGAAGCCATTGCAGTACAGGTATACACACAAAGAGCATAACGGGTGTTATATTTGCTTATTTGTAAATTTCTTAGTTTTAAATAAGTAGAAAGAAGAGCTAAATGCATCTTTTCTTTATCATGGCAAAAAAAAAAGGCACATCCATCTTCTGTAAGATGGATGGAAAAAGACAACGTTGTGTTTCGCTGTGGAAAGAAGTATGTGAATGAACAGTCTGATAGGGAGGAAAGAAGCGTCTAGAAAAACAAGATAATGAGGAATAAATTCTCGTTAAGAGGTTTGGAGTTTTTTCATACCTGTGCAAGTTTAGGAAATTGATAACATATGAACACGTGTCTTTCCATGTAAAATTATCATGTCGCGTTTCGCCAGCAGGTGGTGATATTGTTGGTTTTGCTCAATCTCCATGAACTTTCTAGCACTGAGCTAGAAATCTATCCCCATTAACTGGGGACTGACTGACTTATTGCTTTTCTTAAAGCTTGAACATGATTAACAGTCAATCACCTACTGAAAACCTGCTCTCTTTAGATGGCACTAATATGTCATTATGTTTCATATTTCATTAATCAAGTCCGACCTCATAATAAGATCACAAACTACTAATGATACGGATGGAGATAACTGCAAACTACGAAGACGGAAATTGTCCTTTCAAAGTGAAATAGAGAAAGGTAATTAACTTCATTTCTTACATTAGACAGCACTGCTTCATTATTCATTGGTATTTCACTTTGTAATGCTGGGTACATTAGGGACCCATCTTGGCTGTTACTGTAGCAGCTCTTGAGAATCCATCTGAGTAGCAAAACTACACTGTGCATTGTCCCCTGCATGGTTGTATAGAACTATATAACTAGCGAACATCAGTTTCACCCTTCCATGAATTCACACTCATCAGTGCAGAGCTGCTCGAACACCAAGCTATTTTATTGCATTTGAGATATATGTAAATACATATATTATCTCTTAAACTCTCTGAGACTATGTTTTAAACTCTTTGGAAAAGCTAGTCTGTTGGATTATTTATTAGTAGCACTGATTTTATTTGCTCAGAAAAGTTCTTTGTTGAACTTGATGCTAGGTAGTGTTTCTCTATGGAATTAAAACACTCCATTTTCAGTAGATTCACCACAGTCAGATCCTGATTCATATGCTACTGTGTAAATGGTTGTCCTGGCAAAAGTTCTGTGCGTTTTCTGTGCTTACATTCACCTCAGAGGCTTTTGGGAGCAATCCTAATGAGGGAAAATTCAATCAAATATTAAACTTTGACATCAGTATTCAGCACGGCTAAACACCAGGAACTGTAGATAGTAGCTGTGGTCAGACAGCAACTGTCATGAAGACAGTTAAACTGATACTTGCAATATTTTCATTTTTAGGTAAGGAAAGCGCAGTTCTTTGAATAACATTACACTTCATGGTCCAATGTTTTGTCTGACAAATTTATACTTCTGGTATGCCTGTCTTTCACACTCTGCAGTTAAACCCCTGTCTCAAATGCAGCATAATACCAATTTATAGAGTTGCATGGTAGCTGATAGTAAATGGGAGCTTCTTTAAACATACATAACAGGTATAATGCTTGATGAAGGAAGACTTTAAATCCAGAGTGTGGCTACTCAGAACAATGACATTGCTGTTGGATCAAAGAAGTGTCTTTGGGGCAAGAAGCCAAGACTGACAACAAATCTGTCAGGAAAATGTCCCCATGAAATATTCAATCTGCTCTTCACAAAGAATCTGTTGACAGAGGCACTGTGCCTGAATAACCTTCACATTTCTTATGAGAAAACATATGCTGCCACCTAGACAAGATGGAAGTGTTCTTTATGTTGTGCCTGCTGCGGAATTGCAAGTAGACTCCTCAGGTGCCAATGTGGTACCAAGACCCCGAGGCTTTTACAGTTCTTGCCCAGGTGGTTACACTGAACATTCTCTTGGAGACATGTATTAACATTACTTTTGAAAGAACATGATTTCCCACAGTTTTGTCTTTGAAAAAAAAACAAAGAGCTTGCACCATCGGGGAGAAGGGGACAAGACTGGCAACAAGCTCCTTAGTCCTGGTAATGACTGTATAGTATCTGGTAACGTCTGAGGTAGACACAAGTGCAGTAAATTGGAAGACAGTCTGAGAAGATGCAATTCTAAGAGCCCTTTGCTAAGAACTGAACATACTTTTGACCCACGTGCTTACTGACTCTCTCTAGTCCCTGTTTAGATTCTCTTTCTGTTGCCATAGCTGCAGCAGACACCTTGCAGTCACAGACTTTCAATGTCCCTTTTCTGTGGTCCATCCTACATCCTGTGTGAGATTCTAGGGTACTAGACATTAGTAACAGCTTGTGAAGTAATACTGTATTGATTTCAACACTTTCCATACAGGAAGGAGTGACATCATATGTTGATCCAGTTAGTCTATAATAATAAATATTTGAGGAAGACCCTGAAGAGTGCCTCAGAAGAGCTGGAGTAGAAAACAGAGTTCCCGAATGCACAGTTGGCAAATGCATTTCTGGTCGGAGTATTCTTAAACCTAAAAAATGTGTGTTGTGTGATGACTTTTAACAGTCATATTTCTGTTTCAGAACTACACTTTGAACAGGATAGAAACATCCTGCATTCTCACTTTTATATTTTGATATTTTACATATCACTGAATTCTGATTGATTTGTAATTATTGGGGGAACAGGGGTTGCTCATGAAATGGTCTTCTTGCTGGCATTCTTTACTTTTTAGCTGTTGACCTACTATATTATGCAGCTTGAAATTGTATTGTTTCCATCTGTAGTGTGTTCATCAGCGATTTTCTCCCTTTTGGAGTGCTAAAAATGGGATTGTGTTATATCAGCCTTTAGTTCATGCTAGCCTGATTTGGATCTTGTTGCCATGGTAACTCTTCCTGCACAAGTTTTATCAGGGGTTAAACAAAAGCAACACAGCTCTCTGTTATGCATCTGCAGTTAGTACCACTACTTTGCCAATCCCCCGCAAGACCTTCTCAGTCCACCTGTTCATATTTCCACCATTTCTTACCTGCATCAACAAAAATTGATCTTAGCTAGTACATTTGGCTCTGTGATATTGTGATTTTATAGGATAGAAAACTGCTTGAGGGACCAGCTTGTTCTCTGGTTTCCAGAAAACCTGCAACATCACAAGGATTGCCGTGCAAAAATAAACACATTTCTTGCTCTCACCCAAAAAAATTCATTTCAGGCCTTTCAGAATAGATATTCTGAATAGATAGATTTCCCAGGTGCAGGTGCAGTCTTAGTCAGTTGCTGTAAATGCTTGACAGTCAGCCAAGAAACTCTCTCCATGACTGCTTAAAATAAACAGAATTCCTGCCTGGCAGTTCCAAACAAAGCTCTCAGCTGGGCTGGCAAGTTAGTCTCCTGCTGTAAACTGAGGGACAATGAGCTGCTCCATCTACATTCAGCTGTCTCTTCCAGCAGTACAGAATACAATCCTTTCTTGCTCATTTCTCATTTTTCTCTGGTAGCTCTTCGGGAGTTAGCTAATTTCAAGGGCAATATATAGGGGCAAGAAGTTTCTTTTGCTCTGCTAGTTCTGAGTGCAGATCTATTATCCCACACTGAGGGAGGCATCACTAGAGTTGGTTACATCAATATGAAATCCAAATATATAGGTGAAAATGCAAAAGTTCCAGATAGAGTGAAAATAAATTCACTGAGAGCTTGAAAAACTGAGGCTTTGAAAACAATTTTCTGGAGTTCAAGCATTATTGTTATTGCTAGCATCTTGTTTAACTTTTTGTTAACATTGGCTCTAAAATCTCCACCTTCTTGGGACTGTTCAAATGTCCAATTAATCTCATTAAAAATATTATTTGCATTTAATTTTAACTTATGTAACCTTTAGCTGAAGGCTGTAAAAAATCTGGACCTGTTGTGGGCCAGGTATAATTTTCCTGAAGTCCTAGAAGCAATCAGATACGAAATCCTTCCCAATGAGAAAACTGATTTGAGGCTAAAACTGCACTTCTTACATAGCAAAATCATAGCCACCCTTTGTTCTTCTGACAGGGCATATAGAACCTTTCCATCATATCCAGGGTAATTAAAATACTGGCTAAATAAACCAGTATGAACATACTGACTGGGAATGTAATGATGACCTCACTGAAATAAATCCTTATTCTAGATTTTTAGCTGTGATCCAAAACCAAGAACATCATCCCACAAACTCTAGCTGAGAGGATGATAAGCATTCCAAAGGAGTTATATTGTTAAATTTGAGTCATAGACTGGCCTAGGCTGGAAGGGACCTTAGAGATCATCTAGTCCAACCTCCCTGTCATGGGCAGGGACGCCACCTCTTGACTAGACCAGGCAACACATGGGGACCAAGCAGGAATCGAACCCGCGACCTCGGTGTTGGTCCTTGTTGTCAGCACCGCGCTCAAACCACTGAGCTAACCGGTCCTAGTAACCGAAGATACAGGTAGCCAATGCTACTCAATCTTTAATCTTTGTCAGCTGGTCCAGTGAGCTCATAGAAAGGAATTGTTATCACTTTGGATGTGATCTTTAAAGGCTGCAAAAGCAAGTTCTTACAAAATCTTGCTACACAATTATTGCATGCACTTGCCCATGTTGACACAGACTGTCAGTTAAGTGAAATATAAAATGCATTTTGCAGTGTTTTATTTTTAGCATATTGTTAGCTAAGTAAACTTACACAGAACTTAATTTTAATGTGAAGAGCTGTGCTTCTTGACTAGACTTTTCCAAAACCATCTACTGATCTATTCTCAAAGTAAGCATAGAAGCCAGAGCTTTAATAAACTTCTGATTGAATCTTGATTAGTACAGCTACCTTAAGTGTGCAGGTAGGTACTATCCAGGCTAAGAAGCCAAGCCATATTAACATAGCTTTGTTGCACAAGGTGTCTAGAGTCCATGACTGGCAATATAGAAGACAAGGAGATCTTTCAGGAATTGATTCTCCTGCCGAAAATTATGAGGTGAAGCAGTACCAACCGGGAAACACCTCCCTGCTCCTGCTTTCTCCCATTCTTGTCCCCTTCCCCCAGCTTATTTAAGTGCTTACTTTATGAATAGATGGCTCAGACAAGCACGGTGCTGTGTCCTCAGCAAGTAAGCAGGGTCAGAAGCTGGACAAAAATTAAAACTCTTACTTAACTGTTGAACTGTTAGCATTATGCTGATGGAGTCTGCTTGGGTTCAATTAGAAAAGAGTTTCTAATATTCAGCTAGAGTGTCAGGTGGTTAAATGACCAGGAAATATCATGGCTGGCAGCATATTCCTTGAAACTAGACTTTATGTCACTGAAATCTTACCTTCAGCATGAAACCCCTAACAAAAATGCTGTCATCAGAGACCCCATCACTGCAGTTTTCCATCCGCTCCTATTATTGTTATTATTATTGTTTTGCTGTTCCCACAGTGCCTAGGAGCCACCTCAGGGAGCTTACACAGAAGAGTCTTGTTTCCCCAGGAGTTGCTCCCAGAGAGGCTGTTCCCAAATGCCAACTCTGATCAAAGTGTTGTATGCAGTCACACATACCCATAGTCATCCTTTGAAAAACAGAAAAGAAAAAAAAAAATGTAAGAGTAAGAATAGTACAACAGTGAAAACTGAATTCCTTTTAAGGAAAAGAGAATTCTAAATTTTATAGG